AGCATTGTGGCACACTTGTAATCCCAGCACCTGAGCGGTGGGAGGCCAAGAAATGGCAAATTCAAGGTCATCTTCCAGCTACATAGTGAATTTGAGGCTAGTCTAGGTTACATGAGACCTTGTCATTGCAACATGCAAGGCCGCAGTTCCCACTCAACAGGCTGAAACAAGGCTTGTGAGGTCCATACCAGTGCAAGTGAGACCTTGCCTCAGAGGACGGAAAAGAGTTTAGAATGGTTTGCTTCATTAATAACAAGACTGAATGAAAGTTAAACCTCGTGACTTTAAATCTTCATGTAGACAACTATTTGTCTCAACTGAGCATGTTGTGATGGCATGTACTTAGATCATGTGATACTGTGACCTCTGTATATAGACTTGTGACTGTCTTTACACATACACATACACACACACTACAGTGTATTTGTTCCTCTTTTAGTGTCGTTTTGTTTGGTGGCAGGGAAGAATGGAACCCAGGGCCTTGGGCTTGCTAGACAAGTGTTCTATCCCTGAGCTATATATACTCTAGAGGCTAGAGTCTAGTCCTTTATTCCTATTTTATAGATACAGAAAATGAAACTTAAGGTCCTATATCTAACTATGTAAAGCCTGACCATAAATCCTGCTTTTTGGGCTATATAAGGCAGCTAGTAGATCAGTGCTCAAACAAGATCCTTGTAGTATAGTGGTTCTCATGCTGTGGTGACCCCCAACCATAAAATTATTTTTGTAGCTACTTTATAATTGCAATTTTGCTACTGTTATGAATTGTAATATAAATATTTTTGGAGATAGAGGTTTGCCAAAGTGGTCATTATTCACAGGTTGAGAACCACTGCTGTAGCACAGTGTTTTAACCCTAATATAACTGATTAACTGCATTAAATGTTTTTGGCCAATATGAGACTTAGAAAGTCCATTGTTGTATTTAGAAATAATGTAATTGCATGTACCTAAAACTAAATAAAGTAATAGAATTAAGTATCTTGATGCATGAATTGAGTGTTAAAAATACAGAGAATGTAGTTTAATGATAAAAGTAAAATGTTTTTTCGGGGAATTTAATTTCTCTTAACTTGAGTCTATCAACTAACATTATTTTCCTTCCTTTCTAGCTAACTGCCTTCTATGAAAGCAATTATTTAGGTGATCGTATTCTTCCAGCCAGAAGACTGAAATATGATGTCTCAAAACTTAACTAAAAAGCTGTATTCTACTGAGAAACTGACACACACACACACACACACACACACACACACACACACGTTTCCCCTGAAATCATTTTACATCATGGAGAAGTTTTCTGGGCTGTTTTGAAACAAGCCAAACAGCAGTGATTGGTGAGTAAAGGTGTCACGCAACTCTTCAAGACTTGCAAGCTCTTGGCAGTCACACTACATTGCACAGTAAGGTTGAGAAGAGCTTAAAGAAATCACATTTTGGATTCAACAGAGGTTTTCACCTGCACATCGGCCAAAAGAATTCGGGAGTGGATCCCACTACAGTGATGCTGACTGCATCTTTAAGAAGTGACCATGATGTTGTGTTCATGTATGTATGTACATATGAGTTGAGCCTCATATATATACACACACACCACACATAAAAGCACATTGTACTGTAATACTGCAAGAAGGTATTTTTAACTTACCATTTTATTTTTTATACACATTAATCAGATATCATTACTTCAGTTGCAACTATGCACTTGTATAAAGCCATAATGTTGGAATTTATATCCTTCATTCATGTACCTGATAGGAGATGCATGTTTGTGTAAACAGTAACTGTAATAAGAAGTTTGAAGTTAATTATTCCAGTTTCCTAATGCTTGTGGTAGACAACTTTATCCATTTTGAATGCCTTAATTTAATTTCTTCCCTGCCCCCCAAATCTCAACCCTTTTCTATATTTAAGAAAAGAAAGAACAAGTGTTTACCAGCATTTAGGATGCAGCTTGCTTTGTGGGGAAAGTAGTGCACTCTTTACACACAGTAATTGTGTCGATGTCGGCCTGTTTGGTCATAGAAACAATAACGGATTACATTGGAACTAATGTGTGTGATGTACATCTGTTATTATTTCGTCCCTTTTTACAGGCTTCAGATAGTCTGTGACTATAAACTATTTCCTTTGCTTTGACCTTGCTGGTTACCCTAGATACATTTTTATTTATGGTAAAGGCAGTTTTTCACATTTTCATTTAAGATTCAAAAATTGTCTCAAATATTAAGAAAACTAACATGTATTGTATATATATTTTAATATTTAAATATGATCCTGAAACAAACAACTGTATGGTGGTATATCAGCTTTGATATTTGGGAAGAGGCAGCCTCAAAAGCGCATACTTTGATTCTCATTGTTAAATGCTGCTGAGGTTAGAGAACAGGCAGGATAGGTCCTGTTGTGCTGTGGGCCCGGGTAAGTGTGCTTCACCCCACAGCAGAGTGTAGCAGTGGGCAGCATCAGGCTCTGTACATATGCAAAGTTCAATATGATATTGAAATGTTTGCCTATTTCAGTGAAGCCAGGAGACCATTTTCGTTGCTTCCCTCTGGAGTCAGTGTAGAAATGTTGTAAAAAGTTTGGACCTCATAGATTTTATTATGGAATAGTGGCCTTTGGCCTACTGTATACTAAATCCCAATCCTGTGACCTTCAGGTGGCCCAGTTGCATCTTTCGTTCCATCTGTTAATAGATGTGCATGCCATTTCTCTGGAAGCAGCTGTGCTCTGTAACTCTGGTTCAAAACGCTGCTTCCCTCCTTTCCTCTCTCCCTTCCTCCCTCCTTCCTTCCCTCCTTCCCTCCCTCTCTCCTCTCTTCAGATTTAAAAATGAAAATATATAAAATTTATATAGAAGAACTATTTCCATTCATTAGAGTTGTTTAAAAGGAGACTGAATTAATATTTTATATAAAGATTTTGTTACACTATGGGAGGTTCTATCCTATTCTGAATTGGAGAGTATATATATATATATATATTTTTAATAAACTTTATTAAGGTGAAATAATGTCAAGTTTACAAATGAATAATTGAAGTATTTGAGTAAAAAAGGCAGAAGTTTAAATTTTGGATGCTGTGTGTGTATATATGTATTAGAGTTTGGAGAATCGTGGTGATGCAACTGTACGAGGCAATTAATGTGAAGGATTCAGGGGAATAAAACATGCTGAGGGGCAAAAAATCTCTCCATGGAGCTTCTTCACATATGGTTTAACATAGGGATTTATAAGGTCATTTGTCCCAAGTAACAGAATTTTGAGTAAAAAAGCTGACCTTAGAGAAGTCAGAAGGGATTTGTTTTTCTTGTTGTCATTTGCATGTAAGTGCACACACCTGCCAGTTTTCTTCCCAACCCAATGGTCATTACAAGAGCAACCTAATTTTGTGCCAGTTTCGCTTTTTCTTAAGGCTCCCAAACCTTCTAGATAGATGGTTATCAGAGCAAATGTTGCTTCCTTTATTCAGTTTGTCTCAGAGCCATAAATACCTCCAATTGGGAACTAAAAGAAAGGAATGCTAGGTTTCCTTGGTTGGACACTTTTGCTTTGTGGAAATAAAAACAGAAGTAAAAGAAAAACTTAAGTTCCGGTATTACTGATGAAAATTATTGTAAAATTAAATTTTAAGCATTGCTTTTAGAAAAGCAAAACAAAAAACAAAAAACAAAAAAACTAAGTTCAGTTGAAAGTTTCAAATGCCCCAGTTAACTAAAGGATAAGTGAGCTAGTAATCCCAAGGAAAGGCTGGTGTTTCTCTCCAACCTTTGGGAGGCCATGGACCCTAGAGGAGGCTCTGCATCAGTTCATGTGTAGATCTGGTGAGAAGTGCTGGAGGTTCCTGCTGCTGCCGTTGGTCTGTTAGGATTCCTGGGGTGATGTGAAGAATCTCAGACACCAACTTACCTTACAGAGATGCTCTGAGCAGCATGCCGAAACCCCGAGTGGAACAAGTAGCCTCTGAGCTCTCAGGCCCCTTGACTGCTACTGATTCTCCTTTCCTGCCTGAAGGTGGCTTCAGCTCCCCTGGCTTGTGGAGGTGCCACAGCCAATGTTAAAGCACTTTGACAAGCACTGTGTGACAGTGCTGAGTGTTGTGCCCTGGGGCCTTGCCTTGTTCCCTTCCCTGTGGTGACTTTTGTTTAGAACTGTAATAAGTTATAAACTGCATGATTTAGAGAGTCATCTTTGATCAGCTGTCCCCCTGAACAAAAAAAATCATACTCTCTTGATTTATTTTTATTTTTTGCATCTTTGTAGTAATGTAATTGTATTTTTATGCCTGCTTTTTGTTTAAGAAAAATAAATAAAAGAACTTAAGATGTAAGCATCTTTTCCTGTGCAGTAGTTGTGGAGCGCTGCAGCTTCTTAATGTGTCTCTCTAAAGGGTGCGGGTAGAAGGGGTGAGGAGGGTAGAGGACACAGGGTGCCTTTCTGTCTGAAAATAGTGAGTGGTGGGTGTCTTCTCGAAGGTGCTTCCCTGGGAAGCACTGGCCATCCTCTGGTCTCGGGTTGGGTATTCTCTGAATAAATTCATCTGGAGACTGTCTGCCTTTCAGGTACTGCCGGTTTGAAATATAGTAGAGCATATAAAATGGCTACAGTCATCCAGATGTTCCCTCCAGAGGTGGAATTTGTCGAACAGGTGGAGGCAGAAAGCTGAGTTTGAGGCCAGCTTGGCCTACAAAAAGGGGAAGTTTTTTTATTTAAAAGAAGTGCTATAAGCAGTGGCAAAATAGAAGTGCTGTTTGAATATACCAAAGCACTTGTTGGGGTAAGACCATAATTTATATTAATTAATGGTCTGATTATCAGTGTATGAGAGGTGAACTTGGGTTTTGTTTTCTGACACTGGTTGAAATAGCCATAGGATGGTTTATGTTTAGATGTAGAATTTCTCTCCTGGGTCTAGGGCAATCGTCCTAACAAGATTAGCTAGCTTACTGAGGAGCTATATCTAAATAACTGAAAATTCATGACAGTTAAGATCAGTGGAATTCAACAAATGAAAGTCTATTTTATACAGGAAACTAAGCATTTTCCAGTAAACATCATTACTTACAGTATGGCAGAATAATGACATGCACATATAAGAAAGTGCACTTTTAAGTGTCAGGTTTATAAAACATCGGAGGAAGTACTATGAACAGTGCTTAGGACATGTTACTTTAGTAAGAATAAAATCCCCAAGAATTTGGGTATGGCTTAGCAACACTTTTTAATGCATACCTTGCAGTAGCTAAAACCTGTACCAAGTTCCAGCAATGTAACTGAGGTACAGCCCTTTCTTTAAAAAAAAAAAAAAAGGCTGCATTGTGCTTGAATTGGGAAGGCCCTTGAAATTTCCTCACCTAAACAGAGATCAGAGCTCTGTAAGGCACACTGTGAAGTGTGGGAGCACTCAGCCTTGCTTGCCTTGAACAGATGTTACAGTGCTTTATGACATAAAAGGCCAAGTCCTTGGTCATGGAAGGGTTAAACTGCCCGGGTGGGACTAAGCAGACCCCACTCCTTGTGGGAAAACTTTAAGACTCTGAAAGAACTTAGTCATGACTTCTAAGTGTCAAAATGGTTTCTTGGGCAGCATCCACCGTTGCAGGTGTCAAGCCAGGTGTGGTCGGTTCCCTCAGTAGTCCAGCACACTTGCTGCTCAGAAGACTGAGGAGGGAGGATCACAAGTTGAAGGGTAGCTTGGGCTATGTAGTGAGACTCTTCTCTTCTCTTCTCTCCTCTCTTCTCTTCTCTTCTTCTCTCTCTCTCTCCCCTCCCTCTCTCTCTCTCTCTCCCTCTCTCTCTCCCCCCCTCTCTCTCTCTCTCTCTCTCTCTCTCTCTCACACACACACACACACACACACACGCCAAGAACAACAATAACCACTAAGTCCTACCACAATCTCTGGGTGCAGGTAAGGAAATGAGCAATTTCCTTCTCTGAGTCCCGTGTGCCATGTAGCACAAGCTACCTCAAACTCCCAAGTGCTGGATTATAAGTTTGCACTTCCATATCCATCTAAGAGGCTTTTCAAGTCTGATTTGAAGTTTTTTGATATGATTGACTAGTAAAAGACTTTAAATGTAGCAATGGAAAGCAACGGTGCATCCCCTGGTTGAGTTATTTGAAGTCCACTGTGTGTAGAAGGAATACATCCATCATTCAGCTTTGGTAACAGGCTTCCGGTAGTGCAGTACTGTTACTGTTACCCATATATTTAAAGCCAACATGATCACAAAACGGATAAGAACTGAAATAAAAAGAAAGTTCCAACATTAAAAAAACAACAACAACAACATTATACTGCTTTCAGTAGAAGCCTACATAAGTTCTCCCAACCCCCAACGAAATGAGATCATGAGACTCAGAACAAGATTGCTTTCAGACATTTCCTGGGAAAGGACTTCCCTGCAGAAGCACCACTTGGTGCTTCATTGAAATAATGTGATTCTGGCTAAGATGTGCAAGACCACTTTACTTACATCTTGAAGACATAGGTGTCTCAGAATGCTGCTTTTACAAAGACCGTTCTAGTAAAGTATGGTGGACCCTGCCTGTGGACCCATGAGAGGCTGAGGCAAGAGGACTGCTAGAGGCTCAAGGGAAAAGCCAACCTGGGTGGCACAGCCAAGACTCCACATCACACAAAAGTATTCCTGAGAAAACAGCCCTGGGTCGGTACATGTTATATAATGAAGTAACCATGAAAAAGTGTGACCAACAGACAGAACAGGGGCCTTTAAGACATGAAGACTGTGTTTGTTTTATGACAGGGTCTCTGACTCTGTAGCTGACGGTGACTTTAAACTCCTGATTTCTGTGTTAAGGATTGAAGCCAGGGCTCCCCACACGCATAGGAAGCCACTTTATGAAATGAACTGCAGCCCCACCCGACTTTTGAGATGTCTTTGTAATGGTAAAATAATAAACAGCGTACTAGCCACACTTTTTATTTTGGACAGGATCTCTATGTAGCCCCTGGCTGTCCTGGGGTTACAGGTGTGCGCTACATGGGCCCAGCTGGCCATGCTGTTTTTAAAAGCTATTCACTCAGAACAGTGGTGACAAGTACAGACTGCAGTGGGAGCATTCTTAATCTTTTAAATAAGAACTTCTTATATGTGGGCTCTCTGCCTTTTTTTTTTAATTACATTCTTCTCCCTCCTGTGAACTCAAGTCTCATAGAGGAGAGTTAGGTCTGCTTCCTTTTTTATCCCACCACTGAAGTCAGAGCTGATAAACCTCCCAAAGGGACTTCACTCTTCTGAAGCTTGCTTTCTCAATAAAAAGCCTAGTGGTGAGGCCCTTTTTTTTTTTTTTTTTTTTTGGCTTTTTGAAACAGGGTTTCTCTTTAGCTTTGGAACCTTTCCTGGAACTAGCACTGTAGACCAAGCTGGCCTTGAACTCACAGAGATCCGCCTGTCTCTGCTTCCCAAATACTGGGATTAAAGGCATGCACTTTAATCCAGCTGAGGACATTTTCTAATAGTCAATGGATAGGTTTCTGTTTCTTCACTTTTCAAAGATGCTGTGTTGGAAGTTGAAAAGAGCGTAAGAGATGAACTCTCGTTCAGTTAACCAAAGTATTTTCTTCTCTCAGCTTCTTGGTGTGTGCATACACACACACACACACACACACACACACACACACACACACACTCCTGTCTACCTTCCTGTATGAGCGTGTAGCAGATGGCGCTACATGAGCCCCTGCTTTAAAACACAGTTGGAGGTGTCTTACTACTGAAAGGTATGTCACAGTTCTGACTTCTCTGGCCCCTGCCAGCCTCACTGCTCAGTGTGGCCTGCCCTGGCACCTTCTTTGCAGTCTCAGTATACAGGATTATAGATGCAAGCACCACACCCAGCTGCTCTATTCTGAAAACCCATTTCATGGCATACTTCAACAGTTAATTGTGGGAGTTCTGTCCAGTTTCCTTGTTGAAGTAGAAACTCCAAGACGAGAATTGGGCATATTTCTCCCCATGGACTACAAGGAGTGGATGCATAATAGAGACAGTCACTGTTGAAGACTAATTTTTTGTCCTTTGAATCCATAGCCCAACTGAACTAAGTGGGTCTGTTAAGCCTTATGGGTTCTATGTTAGACCAAAGTTACCCACCCCCGACACACAAAAACAAAACAAAGCAAAACCCAGGAAGTCAAAAGGAAGTTTTTGCTTACCTGTGAAATCATTGGTGGTCATTAAAGTTGTTATTATTCGTGCTGTAAAAGAAAATTCATAGCAATATATAATTTCTCACACATTTTGTGTTTAGCTCATTCCTTTCTATTTTACTATATAATATATGTTAACTTCTTGAATGACTTTGATAGGGGACCCTTGTTAATGCTGTATTGTGTAAACCTCTAATGAGCAGCCATACACCCTCTCCCTGGCCCGGTTATGTAGGAGCTTCTCTAAAAAGCATTTCTAACAGTAGCTCAGCACTGCCTGGGAGGGCTCCCGTCCCTCCTTGTGCTCACCCCTTCCCCCCCAAAAAAACAACAAAAACAATCTCAAGTCTCATTTGCATATTGAACTTCCAGTTATTTTACTTGAAGAAAGGCTCCCACTAATTAAAGTGTGTGTGTGTGTGTGTAAATAGGCTGGAGAGATGACTCAGTGATTAAGAGCACTGGTTGCTTTTCCAGAGGAACTGGGATCACTTCCCAGCACCCATGTGGAAGCACATAACCCCAGTCACAGAGAATCTGACCCCTTTCTGGCCTCCGAGGGCACCAGGCATGCCTGTGGTACACATACATAAATTTAGGTGTAAAATACCATATGCATAAAATTAAACAAAAATAATGTTTTTAAAAATATATAAATTTGAGACAGGGTCTCACTGTGTATCACTGGCAGATCTTGGAATCCCTAGAGCCCCACCTGCCTCGGAATACTGAGCACTTGGATTAAAGGCACACATTACCACATTTGGCAGAAATTCTTTTAGCATTGAACTCCACCCCATTTTTCACAAGTAAGAAAACTAAGACTTGAAGAAGACAAAGTCTTCCTGTCTAACCAGAGTTCCTTTGTTAACTCCTTTCTCTGTAGTGAACAGGACCCTGGGTGACAGTTAAAGCCACAGTCTGTATTACCCCTTGTACACAGGGATACATTTCTTTAGCAGGTTCTGTGGCATAGTTAATTGCAAAAGTATTAGCACACAAAAGAAGACTCTAATGTCCCTGGAGAGTGGTGGCCTTACTTGCACAGGTGTAGGCAGAGAGGCCCCAGGACAGCGCACTCACGGCTTCTGAATCCTGAACCTTCCACAGGTGCTGGAGCTGGGCAAACTTACTGACCGCACTGATGCCAGTGCCTAAGTTCTGTTGTGGGAAAAAAAAAAAGTGAGAAAGTCAGGAGCCTGAGACGATAGAGGACTGGATACAGTACCTTTGTAAACACAGTTTATTCTCTGGAGAGGTGGCACCGCTTGGGAAAGCTAGTTCTGTGGCCCTGGCAATTGAACTCGGGTCATCAGGCTGGGCAGAAGTGCCTTTAACCGGAGTCATTGCATCAGCCGGAAACAGTGCTTTTTAAGCCAAACTTTCAAGACTAGCAGTCTCCAATGTGCCAAGGTTTGAAACTTCAGTTTGGTGAAGGATTACCCTCATCTGCCTCTCTGGTAGGGCGTGAACTGGCCTGGCTGCAGACCCACCCTGCCTTCTACTCTCTCCCCAGAATAGGTAATGGTGTATCCCAGCCTGTCACTAAACAGACCAACTTGCAAACTGTTCCTCATTCTGAGGACTGTGTCCTCTGTTATCTCTCAGACAAGAAAACCTTGCAAATTGGCTGTCAACCCATCATGCTGGCTGCTAAGCTCAGGCCAGAGGGAGACCTCTACAGTCATCTAGACCGAGTGGAATGGAATGAGCAGCATTCATAAGTCAAGGAGATATAGTTAGGAAGAGCCACAGAAAGTGGTGTGTTTGAAAGCCAGGCGAGAGACTCAAGTGAGTGCTATCGAGATCCTGATCTGTAGTGATGAGAGGCATGGGACCTGACTGCTGGCTTTCAAATGAATGACAGTCACAGGGCCTTTGACAGGCTCTGCTTCCTCCTTGTGTGGGCTCCTGGCTGGCCTCCAGAAGTCCTTGTGGGTGGGAGATGGGACTATACAGGAAAGAATGGTAGAGCAAGGAGTGTCAGAGTGTATCTGGGCAGAGGAGGGAGCAATGCCATTGCCAGATTTAAACAGACAAAAGTCACAATGGGAGCTAGGCACAGATGACCTGCAGGAAGCTGTGAAAAAGGAAGCGCTTGTTAAAAAAAAATTGGGGTGCTGGATAAAGCAAAGGAAGGTGGCAGGGCCAGCTTAGTGTGGTGGGGAGGGGCCAAGAAGGGAGGGACACCAAAAGTGGCTTATGGTAGAGCCCAAATGAACAAGTTAGTAACATGTTTGCTTTTCAAGAAAAAACCAACTTTGAGATCAAGGGAGTAGTCTGGGAGCAGGCCATAAGAGAACCCTGGTAGTGTCAACACACACTCAAGGGAGAGCATCATGTTACCCCACAAAACAGTCCATTGCAGACAGGGGATGGACAGGCAGAGATGTGCATCAGCTGCATGTGGCCATGAAAAATACCAGTCCCCAAGTCTACCAGAGAGCAGGTACACAGTGAGCGCTTATAGGGGGGAATGAGGGAGGAGTCACAGAATGGGAGGAAAACGGGAAAGTTATCTTAAAAGTTAAGCTGTCAGGGATGGCAAGGTGGCTCAGTGGGCGGGGAAAATTGCTGTGGATCCTGATGACCTAAATTCAATCCCCAAAACCCACAAGATGGAGGGAGATGACTTACAAATCTCTGCATGCATCCCCACCCCCATACACAAATAAAAGGGGGGAGTTCACCTTAGTGTTCCCCTTGAACTCCAAACCTTTCTAAAATAATGCCTTACTATTTGGCTGGCATTGCCTTTTCATCCTCCTCAACATAGCTGCAAAGCGTGGGTGAAACCCCATGCTCTAAAGCAGTGGTTCTCAACCTGGGGGTCTCTACCCCTTGGGGATCTCTAATGGCCTTTTCACAGGAACCACCTGAGACCACCAGAGAGCACAGATACTTAGATTACAATTCATAACAGTAGAAAAATGACAGTTATGGAGCAGCAGTGAAAATAATCTTATGATTGGGGCTCACCACAATATGAGGAAGGTGAGAAACACTGCTCTAAAGCGCTGCGGGGGCAAAAAGAAGGTTCCTGCTTTTTCAGCCTCCCTCCGGTAGGGGCACCACTCACCATGGCCAGGTCGATGATCCATTTCTGCAGGCTGAGGATGAACCAGGATGACACAAATCTGGCCAAGTGCTAAGGGAGCCAGCAGGGAGTCACTGGCTGCCCCACCCACCCCTCCCTTCTTGTTCTGTGCAGGCCAAGCTAGACCACAGAGGGTGACACAGGAGTCGATGTCGAGGGGTGAGGACTGCTCTGCTGGATGGTGTCCAGTTTGGAAAAGATGCTAAGGGGTTGTATATGAATGTCTGTTCTGAGTTCAAAAGAACGGAAGCAAATTATGGGAGAAAACGCACAGATCTGTGGTCACGAACTGTAACCCAAATGTTCATATGGCTGTAGCTACAATGCTGGTTTCCTGACTGTGCAGACTTCTCTAATGCATCATCAAAATTAAGCGTTTACAAGAAAGCTTCAACCATGCAAACGAGAGGTGTGCTGCAAAACCGGTGTGCTGTGTGTGAACTTTTTGCTGGATCCGCACCCTTTCCTGCTAATTCTGTTGTAAAAGCACAGTAGTTGGGGTATGCAATGGTAGGCAAGAAGAGGAACCATTTTTCATCTGACCTATGCAGGACTCGTGACTCTATAACTAGAAACAAAAGAGCCCAACCAGAGCAGAAATATCAAACCATGAGGGCTGAAGGGAGCCATAGTCAAGGGCAGGAACAAGTTACTAACCACTGCTTTGCCTCGGGGTTTTATTCCCTACCCTGTCTATATCCCATATGTTATCTGCATACAGAAGAGCCCCAAAGGTGGCTGAAAACAATGGTTACATTAAATTGATGAAGGGATTAAACTAGAGATGACCCACAACAATGGCTGGCATCTAGCTGCACTCTTACTGAAACATTTTCTTTGCGACTGTAGTGGGGGCATGCCTGTAATCCCAGCATCTGGGAGGTGGAGGCTGGGGGAGCAGAAGCGGAGCACAGCTATACTCTTCCTTCTGTGGAGAGGGGAACCTGAGCCAGGGGCTCATAGCAGTCTGAGACAGTTTGTGGTCAAGACTTACCCAAATCCTGGGGCCTCTCACTATAAAAAGGGTGCACGGTCATGTCATGGAGGCAGCAGGATTAGCTGACTGCCATCATGATGCAGACACTCTTGGCCTTTTTAAGGAGTTGGAAGTTTAAGAGAAGTGACACCAAATCCTAATGAAAAAGGCTGCCATGAAACTGTACCCTCTGCGTAGGAGACACCACAGCGTGGAGTGGTCTAACGCCTCGCCATTCTGCATGGTAAGCCTCCAAACCAACACAGACACCCAGACAAGGCTCAGCCTCTAAATTAGTTTTGCATAGGTGCATGATTAGCGGAAAACTGCCCCAACCAGGTCTATGCCTACTGGCAGGCACCTACCAGGTGCCTCCTGCATGGGACCTGGTGCCAGGCACTGTCATGTTATTAATCCCCTGGGGACATGCTCATGGAAGGAAGGAAGGCTTGAGATACGCACAGGTTGGGGCCCCTTGCTCTTAGCAGGGTGACTACAAACCTCTCATGTTCAGCAGAATCTATATCCCATGTGGTCTTGGAGTTCAGCGAATCTATATCCCATGTGGTCTTGGAGGGCAGAGGGGCAACCCTGTTACAGGAACACCACTGGCAGCAACTGTACTATCCTAAGGATTGTGTAAAGACTTGCAATTTATGAGTCTTTTTTAATTAAAAAAAAAGGGGGGGGGGACTGGAGAGATGACTCAGAGGTTAAGAGCATTGGCTGCTCTTCCGGAGGTCCAGAGTTCATTTCCCAGCACCCACATGGTAACTCACAACCATCTATGAGATCTGGTGCCCTCTTCTGGCAGGCAGGTATACATGCAGGCAGAACATTGTATACCTAATAAATAATTTTTAAAAATGTTTTTAAAAAAAGGGCTGGAGGAGCTGGAGAGATGGCTCAGAGGTTAAGAGAACTGACTGCTGTTCCGGAGGTCCTGAGTTCAATTCCCAGCAACCACATGATGGCTCATACCCATCTATAATGAGAGCTGGTGCCCAGAACACTATATACATAATAAATAAATTTAAAAATAAAGGGCTGGAGAGATGGCTCAGAGGTTAAGAGCACTGTTCTTCCAGAGGTTCTAAATTCAATTCCCAGCAACCACATGGTGACTCACAACCATCTGTAACGATATCTGGTGCCCCCTTCTGGCCTGCAGGGACACATGCAAGTAGAATGCTGTATACATAATTAATAAATAAATCTTAAAAAAAAAGATCCTGTTTCACAATGCAGAATATTAGCAAATAACACCCCAACCCCCCCCCTACCCTTTTTTGGTGCCAAGGACAGAATTCAGAGCCTCTTGCATGCCACCATGAGCCCTCTTCCTTAGCCCCCTCCTCCTCCATGTCCAGCTCAGATGCAGGAAGGATACACAGCCATGTAGGGCAAGGCCTGCTTCACGTTCCCATTGAAGTGGAAGACGAAGAGCAGGAGGATGATGTCTGAAAGAAGAGACTGTGAGACGGACAGAGCAGCAGGAGGGCAGGCTGGGAAGGGGGGGGGGGAGTTGTCAGTTACCTTGTGCGATGAGAATGGGGTATTCCAGGTAGGTGAGCAACGGGTTCCCATAGTAACATTGGTAGCGAAGGAAGACCAGCAACCTAGAGGCAGGACACGTAGATATTCACAGCCCACCCTGCGACCCCGCCAGACCGCAGGCACATTTACCCAACCCTGGAGTCTGCCATCTTCACCACACTTGTGACTGCCCTGAGGACAGACCTTCGGGAATGTTGCCAGAGACCTTGAGTCACCTTTAGGGGTCACCTACACTGCCTGCCACATCATATGGAGAAACTAAGGCCCAAAGATGACAAGACCATGTGAGAACTCAAGGTTAAAATGTCAACTCAGGCTCTCTCCCTGAGGCGAGAGCCCTAGCTCTGGCTTCTGTGCTTTTAGGGGGACCCAAACACCTGTATGCTGGGGATGATGCATGAATGCTTTTCGGTCTTTAAGGTTTCTGTGTAAAGCAATCATCAACCAGGCGTGAAGTCTCTGGTGTCATTAAAATAGCTAGGCTCTGGGCAAGAACCAATCCCCTCAAATCAGAATTTTAGAGTTGGAGCTCTCAGATCTAAATCCAAAGAGGGTCCATGCCCCCAAGGCAAGAGGAGTCCGGTCCCTGGAGGATGCAGGCTGTATGATAGTGATGGATGCCTCAGAGCCTGTCTGATTGGTGAGGGTCAAGCAGGCAACCAAGTAAAGCCCAGACCGGTACAAAATTGAAGTGACACTTCCCCCCACCCCATCCCACCGCCCCCTCCCCCAGCCATGCAAGGGGAAGGGAGCGGGAGGTGGGAGGTGTGGAAACGGAGACAGCCGACCTCAGGCAGGGTTGCCCTCCTATCCCCATTGTTCCTAGCTCGGGATTAAAACAACTCTTCAGCTCAAACTGCGGTGAAGATTAAGAAAGGAATGCATGTAGGGCTCCAGGAGAACCTCCGGAAAGACCACACGAACTGGGAACTATTGCAGTAAACTGCTGGCGGAAGTAGGGATAAATAACTATTGGGTTTCAGTGGTGCCGCATACCCACGCCTTCTGGCCTTAGAGCTGGTCTTAACCCTGCCAAGCCTAACTACAGAAACCAGCCGTAGCTGCCCGCCCACTGCACGAAGGGAGAGAGGCTGTTGAGATTTTCAGAAAGAGCCTACTTTATCTGTACAGCGATAGACTACGCCATCCGGGTCCTAGGGAACATTTCCATGGCCAGAGCTGCTGGGGTCAACTGTTGGATCTGAGACGATTTCTGATTGGATTTGCGTGTTTAAAGCCAGTCAGCAAAGAGGGAGCTAAAGGCAGGGGAGGAAATGGTTGGCGTTCTGTAGGCATCCGAGAGCTTTCTATTCAGTCTGCACCTTGAAGCCTGAGCTTCATGCTCGCGAAGAACTTAGCATGTCAGAGGCCAAATAACTCTCCTGACTTCAAACACCTGCATCCTCTGCCCCGGCCAGGCTGTCACTTCTGCATCCTTCAGTCTCATGCCTTACCCATGGGGGCTGCCCCTCTCTCTCTCTCTCTCTCTCTCTCTCTCTCTCTCTCTCTCTCTCTC